GAAGAGTTGTGGCTGGTGCATTTCAAGTGTTGTGTGACGGCCCAGAGAGATCCTCCCCTCCCCTCCCCTCCCCTCCTCTCCCCTCCCCTTCCGTCCTCTCCCCTCCTCTCTCCCTTCTCCTCTCCCCTCTCTCCCCTCCCCTCCCCTCCCTTACCCTCCCCTCCCTTCCCTGATCCTCCCCTCCCCCCCTCTCCCCTCCTCTCCCCTCTCCTCTCCTCTCCTCTCTTCTCCTCTCCCCTCCCCTCTCCTCCTCCCCTCCCCTCTCCCCTCCTCTTCTCTTCTCCCTCCCCTCCCCTCCCCTCCCCCTCCTCTCCCCTCCTCTTCCCCTTCTCCTCTCCCCCCTCTCCCCTCCCCTCCCCTCCTCTCCCCTCCTCTCCTCTCCCCCCCTCCTCTCCTCTCCTCTCCCCTCCCCTCCCCTCCCCTTCTTCCTTCCTTTCTCCCTTCCTCTCTCCCTCACCTACACATACTGAGCGGCTGTCATATGCCCAGGCTCTCTGCTGGACACTGATGAAAACGCTTCCTGCGACTCACCTTCTAAGAGAGTCAGGACTAAAATTCCGGCTCTACCCCTTGCTGTTCATCTTGGGCAAATGACTCAGCTTCTCTGCTGTGGTCCAGGAGACGGTAAAGAAATGGCCTCAATAAGGTTGGGGAGCGTTGGGTTTAAAGTGGGCAACGGTGAGTGTGTGGGTAGAGAGAGGCTGATGGATCTCATGGATGGCCATTTGAAAGTTCTCTTCTGGCTGGTTCCAGTTTGTTCTAGTAAAATAAAATAAATGCAAGTGGGGAGCAAGCTGGGAGGAGGGGGTGCAGCAGCTGGAAGAGGGGAGCTTCAGGAGGGTCCTCCAGAGAGGGGGTGATTAGGAAATTGGAAAGGAATGGCTGGGTAGCCGCAAGAGCTTGCCTGAGGATTGGAGTCACAATTCCCAGGAGAGCTTAACCAGCTTGGTTTCGTGCCTCTGCCCAGCCATGCCCAGCAGTGTGGGTGCCAGCTTGGGGTGAGTAGTAGAATCTGGCGGGATTTTAATTTGCACAGTCTCATCCATCCTGCAACTCGGTTTAGAAGGTGTTTAATACTCACTTTGCAGACCAGTAAACTGAGGCCCCCAGAGGGGAAACACCTTCTCCAGGATTAGGTTAGGAACCAGAGAGCCAGGGAGAGAAGCCAGGCTGGTTCCAGAGCTCACACTGGATCCCTGCAGGACGTGCTCATTGTACCACCATCCAGGGTTCTCTCGGTGCTCTGCTTATTTAGTCAGCCAGAAGCTACCGTGTGGTGTCCTGAGTGGGCTGGTGGGTTCTAGCTCAGGTTCCCCCACAGCTCCCACAGGAACATCAGCCACATTCACACCTCCTTGGGCCCCGATTCCCTCCTCTAAATGAGGAGATCAATCTGGGGCTCCCTCTAGTTCCTTTCTGCTCTTTAATAATACTTTTTTCCTCTGCCTTAGTACCAGGGTGCGATGGGAGGGACTCCAGAGAGGCCTCCCCTTGGGGGACATCAGAGGTTCCTTGGGGATCTGAACACATCTGGGCCTGAATCTTCCCCACCTCCATCTCCAAAACCTGGAGCTGATGGACGAGGTGAGACAGTCAAGGTGGAAATCAAGGTGCACTGGACAGGACAGAGGGTCGCTGAGCTGCAGCCACCTGACCTCAGAGCTCCGGAGCCCGACAGATGAGGGCACCGCTTTGTCACCAAGCTGCCCCCTTAATTGCAATAGGCTCTTCTGTTATTAAACAGAACCCCGCACAAACAAAAGGGGTACTGTTTCTTTTATGCCTAATGTGCTAACTCACCCCTGGAAAAAAAAAAGTTCAAGTCCAGTGTGGAGACTGAGACAGCGTAAGATTTATTACGGAGGCTACAGAAATTATTCCTCTTTCACAGCACTTAAATTGTCTAATTATTTGCAGCTGTTTCCAATTTGGCTCGGGCTGCTAATGAAGGGTGTGCGTCTTCCCCTCTTCTGGGGCGGCCACCCCGAGCCCCCGCAGCCCCAAGCACAGAGGAGTCGGGACGAGTGTGCCCGGGGCTTGGCTGTAGGAATCCACTGTGCAGCCGCCAGTCTGCCTTTGTCAGCTGTCCCTGAGCTAGAAGGCCAGCTCAGGAGATACCCACAGCCTTCCCGCGACCGAGGGATGCTGACAGGGGGAGTCCCTACAGGCGGAGGGACCTGAGTCCTTGACCTCTAGGAACCCAGGGCATCTCTGGTCCCCTAAGGTCCCCGTCAGAGCTGTGGCCAAGATGTCCTTTTTGGAGCAGGTTGAGCCAGTGGATGTCTCCATCCGTTCTTGTCCAAGCCTGACGGATGGACAGAACTGGCAGTCGGACCCCAACCAGTCTGTACGCCCTCCACTCTGCAGCCGGTCCCCTTCCACACCCTCCCCTGAAGTCCTGTCCGTGCATCTCCTGGTCTCCGAATCTCTTCCCCTTTGATTCTTAGCCAAGTGTTGAGTTTGGGGCACTGAGCCAAGGCAGAAGGGTTTGGAAGCAAGTAAGACGTGTTTCATCGCCCTCTGGATTGTAAGCGTGAGGTCCAGTATCTCAGAGACCTTTAACTTCTCTGCAGTGCCTAGCAGAGGGGCTGGTATGCAGTAGCTGCTCAATAAACACACACTGGACAAATCTGCCAGAAAGTTCTGGCTGGAAGGGACCTGGACAGCAAGTGTCCATCTCTGCTTAAAAAAAATCTAACTTTTTTCCTGTGAAATAAATATATTTTTATTTTAGAAAAAATAGCAAATAGAGAAGAAAGTAGAAATTGCCTGTAATCCTTCCTTCAAAATATGTTATTAACATTAGTCATCCATCTTTCCAATCTTTTTAAAAATGATGTCATACCTATTTTTAAACACAACTGTGATTGATTTTAGTGTATTTGCCTGTTTATAACTTGTTTTTAATTTATTTTTAATTTTTTGCAGGACTGGGGTTCAAATTCAGGGCTACACAAGCATTCTCCCACTGAGCCACAGCCTACAACTTGTGTTTTAAAATATAATTTTGTTAAATTAGCAATAAGTTAATAACATTTCCCATGTCATTAACTTTAAATCACTTTGACAAACATGCGGTATTGTATTACATAGCTTTTCTATAATTCTTTTTACCAGCTGTCAGACTGCTTAAAGTTGCTTTTATTTTTTTTTCCTTTGCCTTTGCATATAATACTCAATTGAACATCCGACTCTTTACAAAGGGAAAATTGGCCAGGTGCGGTGGTACGTGCCTAGAATTGTAGCATTCTGGGGGATCACGAATTTGAGCCCCACCTGGGCAACTTACTTAGTGAGACAACAATAAACAATCAAACAAGCAAATAAATAAATAAGAGTTGGAGATAAAGCTCAGTGCAAAGGTCCTGGGTTCAGTTCCTAGTAATGCAGACAAGTAAACAGACATGGAGAGAGGAAGTGACTGCTGAGAGCTGTCTCCAGCCTTTGAGCTTATCTCCCTGGGTGCTCTCCGTGATGCTGGGGCCAGAACTCTGCAAACTACGTATCTGTTTTTTCGTCACAGAATAAATAGACAAATAAAATGAAGGTGAAAGGTCTCTATATCAGCTCAAAACATGTTCTTGAATGCAATTGCATGGCTGAGGATTGCGTGAGCTCAGATGTATTTATTTATGGTCTACAGCCATACCACCCTGAGTGTGCCCGATCTTGTCTGATCTCCGAGGCTAAGCAGGGTCGGGCCTGGTTAGTACTTGGATGGGAGACATATTTATTTATGACTTTGGAATAGAGGAGAGGCCTCAGTTCCCTGCTTGGTAAGCCATGAAGGTCACTTTTGTGTGTGTGAATCTGACACAGTGTAAAGGACTTTGCACAGACGGGCGCTAGCGAGCTTGTGAAAGCAGGCAGGCTCTGCAGGTCACCGGACACCAAGAGGTGAGAAGGCTCAGGGCTTCCTCCTCCTCCTCTTCCTCCTCACACCAGCTCCATAGGGGAAGCGCTGGCCACCACCAGCTCCACACAGGTGGCTGAAACGCCACAGGAAACGCGCAGTCTCTGACACAAAGACCCAGCAAGGGTCTGCAGAAACCCTAATCGCCCGAAAGTGAGGGAGACATCTTAGAACCAAGAAAAGAGGAGTCCCCCCCCCTCCGCGTGCCTACAGATTGATGCACTCTCAGGTCTCCGGTCCACCCCTGAGCCACCCACACCTGTGCAGGACAAGGTGTCCCCACCCCTCTGTGCACCCCACAGAGTGTGCAGAGCCCATGGTGCGCTGTGTGGTGCTGGGAGCTGGTAGGGCACAAGGCCGGGCCGTGGCTTCCCAGGCTGCGTGCCAGCGGGCCAGGCAGGATCCGATTGAAACTAACCTGGTACTGCCAGTCAGTGCCCCGGAGACCGAGCATGCTGACCTGGGACAGCCCTGTGTGATCCAAGGCTGGGCCAGGAGATGCTAGGGGTTCCTGAGGAGCAACATGGGGGGCCAGGGAATGGGTGGGAGCAAATCCCCCTGAACCCCCTGGGCCCCCAGGCACTCTCTCTAGATCGATGCCCCCTGAAGGGTAAGATCTGTGCCTCAGATCTCTGTGCAGCGCTGTGTGCCAGAGCTTTGCAGAGGGAGGAATGCATGAAAGAATGGATGACTCTGCCTGGCTTTCTTTTGCATTTTTATTTCCTGACCACTTATTTGTTCACTTGCTGTGAATTATTACAATATTACTGCATCTCAGCCTCTGCGTGGGTGACGGATGCATAAGCCTTCTCTTAAGGAGCTTATGGTCTGGTTTTCTGTAATATTTCATTTTAGGGGTTTCCTCCTGCTCTGAGTTCTGCAACCCCAAGATTCCCTGGTTCTTTCATTTTCAAACCCTGTGTTATTCTAAGACCCCACACCCTCCTCCTGAGCCCTGGACATCTGCCTTTATTTTGGATCCTCTGTCAGACCAGTTATCTAAATAGGAATCTTCTCAGTTCATTGATTTGTGGACGTGTATCAAGCATCGAGGAAGAGGTCACCTCTAAGAAATTTGTAGACTCAGTTCAAGGTCAATTGAAGCTAACTGTATTAAAGCAAGATCTTATCTCTCCCCACGAAATATTAGCCATTCCTTTTGGAAAAAAGGATTAGGCCAAAATAGTTTACATAAAGAAAAAAAAAAAAAAAGGCGGATGCAGTGTGAGTGTACGCATAGGCTCATGTGACGGTTTCTTAATTATGAGCAGGAAGGAAGCTGGAGGGTCACAGGGAGGGTACGAGGTGCAGGGACTTGGCTGCAGGAGAGCCAGGAGAGAGCTGGAGGTCACGGAGGAGCTCACGGGTGGCGGCCAGGGCAAGGCAAGCCCATGCCGGCTCTGGTCCTGGTCCAACACTCTTCTCCTGGTCCCTGGGCTGGGCCCCACCCCACACCATTGCCTGAGGGATTAAGCTTCCTACCTGTGAGCTATGGGAGCCTCGATGCTGGGCTGGAACTCCATGGGTCATGCTGGGATCAGGTTCCAGCTCCCTCCTTGTGCAGGCTGGCCAGGCCACATCTCTCAGGCCCTCTTTCTTCTCCTCTAAATCGAGGAGGTTGAAATTCGTGAGCTCCATGTTAAATCACGTGTGATGGATGGTTAATTTTTACGTGACTTCGTACATCCTATTGGCTACAGCAGCCAGGGCAGAAGCAGAACACAGTGACCGGATTCTCTCACCTGTGAACACAGCACAGCTGCACAGGGACCTCTCAAGCAAGTCACAGTGGCCCCCAGACGTGGGCTCTGTCAGGAACGCCAGTGGCAGAGGCTACGTGGTCTCTGGTGGGTACCGCTGACCATCAGGTGGGAGAGGAAACCCTCCTTCCCCAAGGCCGGAAGACAGCCACCCTGCCTGCAAAAATCTCAATCACAAAGAGTCAGAAATGGCCAGGGTGACGATCCTGATGACAGTATCTTTGGGTACGTATGACTACCAGGGGACTTAGCAGAATTCCAGGGATGGAGGTGTGATCAAGTATGCAGTGAGTGTTTAATAAGAAGTATTTATCATGGTATAAAGTGCTGTGAAGCTTCCTTTCTCTCCCATCAAACATACTTATCCCATTATTCTGGGCGCTTTCTGGAGCCGTTCTGAAATGCTTCTTTCATGAGTGTCTTACAAGAGTTGATCAAACATACAGTAAAAGCTGCCTTCCAGTGAAATGTGGGGTTTCGAAACCCCGCCAATGGGTCCTCATCCATCTTAACCGCCAGATTTGGCCCTGTGTGACTTCTAGATCTTCCCCCAACTCAAAATGACCATGAAATGTCAGTGCTTTGAATTGGTTCAGGACACCGAGCAGCCACGACTGCGCAACCAGAGACAGTCAGGAGACAGCGGCTTGACAGGGTGGTGGGACAGATGGGTCTTCCACTGTAGCACATTTCCAAAGGTTTCAAGGCTCATCGTATTGTTGATCACACCCGTTTACCCTTAAGAATACAAGACAGCTGCATGTGAATTGTCTTTTTAGAATATCGCTTGGTTAAGAGACTCCTCCCCATGACCTGCACATAAACATGTATATATTGAAAGCTTCAGATAATTTCAAACGTTTTTGGAGACCCTCTTATTACCCAGCACTGTAGTCATTCTGAGTAACATTTACCTGGCCACTGCCTTTTGGACACCCCTTCTTCCCTAAAAATTGGGCCAGGCTGCCTGAGAGTCACTCCTAGGAAGGGAGAACTGCAAGTACATTTTGAACTAGACAAGAACAAAGCAAAATCAGATCAAAGTACAAGATTTCAGGGTTGCAGGCACCAGCCGGGCGGGCCCACCGTTAAGGGAGGTAACTCACAGGCGTAATTAGCAGCTAGGAGGCTGATGAAAAGGCTTGGGCCACCAGAGTCAGGGCTCCCCAGTGCTGCCCCAGGACCAGGAGTCGGCTCTGGTGGCTCGGCTTCTTGACAACATGATGACGAGCAGCCTTGTTCTTGTGTCCCGCAGTAAATGGGCCTGTGTCCCCCTGGTGGAGGTGACAAGTCAGGGAGTGATGGTAGTTGTGAGTGCCCATGCCACGCTGAGCACAGCCAGTGGCCTGGGACTGAGCCTTTCGGCTGCTGTGTCCCCTCCCCCTCCCCTCCCCCTCCCCTTCCCCTTCCCCCCCCTCCCCTCCCCTCCCCCTCTCCTTCTCCTCCCCCTCCTCCTCTCCTCTCCCTCCCCTCCCCCTTCCCCTCCCCCTCCCCTCCCCTCCCCCTCCCCTTCCCCTCCCCTCCCCTCTCCTCTCCCTCCTGGCCCCCTCCCCTCCCCCTTCTCCCTTCCTCGCCTTGATCTCTGTCTTGAGATCCAAACAGCCCAGTACTCTTCCCGACAAATGTCTGATGCCCAATCTACACTGCTCCGTAGGGAGGGCTTCCTGGCTGCCCTGGCTGGAGAAAGATCTGGTGATGGCAGTGCTGCCGGAGGCCCCCAGAACTCGGACCCTGCCCTCGGTGGGAGGCTGTGGAGGGAGCAGGGTGCAGCAGGGGGCAGGGGGTTCACACACTCTGAATTTGTGGCCTCTGTTCAACATTCATTTGGCATTCTCTGGATGCAAAGGTCATGAGTGCTGGTTAGGAGGATTCATGAAGTGCAGAGAAGCGAGAACCAGAAGCAGAAGGGAAGGCCCTGGCTCGCCCCGCTCTGCCTTCTGGCTGCCTGTGTGTCCGCTAGCGTGTGTGTGCGTGTAGATCTTCCACACTGGCGGCCTCAGCAGCGCACAGTTTTGTGTCCTGTCAGTTGTATCAGTGCGCAGGCGTCTGGACAGTGCTTCTGAGGTGACCTAAAGGCCCAGGGCACTTGGAAGCGGCTCACCCGACCTGTGTTTGCTGTGACACAATAGATCTTTCCCAGTCATTATTTCTAAGCCTCCTCAGCATCCAGCGCTGCTCCTCAGATGAGGAACTGAACACCCAAAGACCCATGGGAATGCGGCATCACGGTTGGGGTCTCACAAGTGTCCCCGCGGGCTCCTCGTGTGCAAAGCCGAGCCCAGGGCAGCGGTGGTCAGAGCTGCGACCTACAGAGGCAGCTGGGTCCGAAGCTGAGACTGTGCAGCCTTTTGTGGGCTCCCAGTGGAGCCTCTGTCTGGTTTGGGGGTGACAGGGGAGGGCCAGGTCCCTGGGGACGTGGCTTCGAGGGTGCACGTTGGCCCCGGCCCTGGCCCTCTCTCTGGCTCTCTCACCTCTGCCTCCTGTGTGTGTGAGGTGAGTGCTCGCCTCTGCCACGGCCTCTGCCCTGGTGTCCACCTCAGCACCAAGGGAGCGCGGAGGAGGGGCTGGCACTGAGACGGAAGCAGGGGACAAGACAGGGCCTTCCTTCTCTCCGCTGTGCCCTCCTGTGCCCTGTCACAGTGGCGAGAAGCGGACAGACACAGAAAGTGAATTTAGCTTGGGGTTCAGTTTTGCACCCCAGGCTCTGTCCCATGCTCAGGGACACTGAGCAGGACCTCTTGTCACCTGTGCGGTGGGGACAGGAGGTCCTCTCCTGACCTGTCCTCTGTGGTGGCCACTGTGCCTGCTGCCTGGGACTGCAAGGCCCCTCCCTGCCCCAGGCTGCCCCCCTGTCTCCCTTACCAGCCTCCTCTCCTCCTGAGCAGCCTCCTGTCTGTCCCTGTCCGTGTGTCCCCGACTCTTCCACACATAGCCGTTCCCTTTGCTCTCCTCTTGCAAAATGCAAAAGCAGAAGCGAGCTGAATCCAGCAGGCGGTGAACACATTGCCGGCCACTGCCCTGCCTGGGCTCCTGGACACGATCTTGAATCCTAATTAAGCTCACTGCTGGCAACGCAGCGGAGGAATAGTTTCCATGGAGCAGGACCCGGGGCTCTCGGCCACTCATCTCGCCTCACCTCGCCTCACCTCGCCTCGCCTCGCCCCTGCAGCACCTCAAGGGTTATGAACCGTGCAAGCTGAGGGGTGGAGCGGCTGGATGAGAAGAAAGCGAGGCGGACGGAGAAGTCTGCGTATGCAAGGCTAGTTGCCCGCAACAGGCCGAAATATGTCTGTGGTATGTGACACCGAGGTTAATGAAATTACAAGACAAACTGGGAAGCTCAGGCCAATGTGCAAACACAGAATTCCTCGTATACTGCGGTTGGAACCCCCTCACGGCCCCCAGGGACTAGTGAAACGAACATTTTTAATTGCAGAAGAAGAGGACTTTTGATGCAATTTCCAGTCAGTGCTGGGGCAGCCACATTCTTGACTCAGTTCTGTGACTTCACAGCCAGCTCAGCAACTGGGCCCTGGGGAAGGTGGCCATTTCTCTGAGAAGGAGAAAATAATGGCTTCTTTCCTTTCCTGCTTTATAAAATGTCCCTGTAAGAGCAATATGTGATGTCTGGAGCTGTGGCAGTCATCTTGTGATTGTGAGTTGCTCTATTTAACTGATTTTATTTTTCTATACTTCATTAGGTGTTTCATAAATGTTAGTCCATTTAATCATAGTCCATTTAATTAACAGGTCAACCTGGAGGATGGCAGAGCAAAGGACAGAACATAATCTGGGTCTGGATGTTATTGCTGACTCAGCACTCAGCCATGTTTTTCCAGATGTTTTGAGGGGAGGGAATCAAGACCAGGTGTCAGGTGTTCTAGTTCTTGTAGTCTAAAGCCTTTGTAAGCAGATGCCACTGTGATTTCTTTCTCCATCTTGTTTTTTAGTTACTGAACTCCGAGGTGTGGCAGGGTAAGTTAATGCTCAGAATAAAGACTACATTATCTAGCCTTTTGTTTGTTTGTTTTTGCCACTGAAATGTCTAAAAGATTAAGTTTCAGCCAATAAGATGTAAAAGGAAGATGTATATGGGACTTCTGGGAAAGGTCTTTAAAAGGAATTGGATTTGCAGAAGGTAAGATCCTTTGGTCTGCTACTCTGTTGTTTCATCTTGTTGCTAGGAAGGTGAGTGTGAAGGCTGGAGCCCCAGCAGCCATGGCAGCTAATAGAGCCCCACACAAAGAAGGACTCTTATCCCTGAGGCCTCCACCTACTGGGCAGCCCCTGCTGCCCAGCTCTGGCTTCTTTCTAAGAAAAGAATAAATTCTTATATGCTTATATTTTCCACAAATCACAATGAGCCTACTTACTAAAATGATCCCAGCTCCCCGGCTTTACTCCGGCTGCTGACAGGAGAAAGTCCTGGCTCTCGGGCCTGTGCACCTTCCCTTCACCTTCCACGCCAGTCTCCACTGCAACCAGAAAGATCTGGCTCGTCCTTGAGATGCAGGTCAGGGTGCCAGGCCTGCGAGGGGCCTACCGGACCTCCTCAGACCACTGGCCCTGGGATCACTGTGTCCCGACTCAGCCCACACCACACTGACCCTTGGACGGCCACTCTGCAGGACGGCTTGGGGACCCGCTAAAGGCCCAGCGTGTCTAGGACAGAGCCAGGGCCTGTGGGTCACAGCCACACCACAACTGGGTGTGCAGCCTGGCTGCCTGTCACCAGCGGTTCCCAAAGTTGCCTGGTGGTGTTCTGGGGATCCCCTCCTGGAGGTTGATTTTGTGGCTGGGCTCAGGGATCGAGCAGATGGCTGGTCTCCCAGGTGGGACCGTGAAGCTCCCTGGAGCCTGGCTTTGCACTCAGCAGCCTGAGTAGGGACGGTCCACCCTGCTCCATGGGAGCGGCTCTCCATTCCTCATTCATTTTCCTGCAGCCATGATTATAAAATGTTATGAACCATAAAGCACCTACTATGTGCTAGATGCCCCTGCAGACCTGGGGGCCCCACAGGGAACAAGATGGGCAGAATTCTTTGCCTCTGTTGAGTGGCTTTCTGCAGGGAAGAGACAATCAGTGACACCTGTGAACCTGGTGCAGGGGACATTTGCACGTGCATCTGTGTGTGTGTGTGTGTGTGTGTGTGTGCGCGCACCCGTGGGCAAACAGCTGTGGTCCCTGGAGGGTTGGGGCAGGAATTCCTACTTCCTGTTCTTGGAGCTATCTTGAGCCCTAAGGAGACAGTCCTGTGCAGAAGATGTGGGGACCACACTGAGGAGACACTGGGGACCGTGTGACTGCGGATTCCATGTTGCCTGGCTGCCAACGCACCGCTCTGAGGGGGTGAGGGAGGGCCCAGCCCCATCTACTTCACCGGAGCCTGGGGACCTGGGGACCCGATGGCTCGGGGAGCCTCCCCTGCCTCTCTGCATAGGCATCAGGTGACCCTGACCCAGAGGCACCTGGACCCGTCCCTCCGGGAACACTGCAGGAGACGAGACGGAAGCAAGTGGCCCGTGTGGCAAAGTGTGTTTGGGTTCATCCTGCAGGGATGGTTGGGAGACCTGTTTTTCTGTGCCTTTCAAGTTCTGCACCCCACACACCAAGAGGGACACCCCACTCTGAGAGGAGCACACACCCGCTCCATCCTCCCTCACATACAGGGAATGCTGGCTTCAGATCCCCACTCTGCCACAGGTTCCACGTCCTGGTGCTGCTGCCAAAGTGGCTGGACCAGGAGCCTGTGAGCTTGCCACCTTCTCCCGGCCCCTGCGGCCACTCACAGTGTCCATCAGGAGCTCGAGGAGTGTTCGGCTAGAGGGATCGCCAGGTCACGGCACCCATCACGGCAACCATAAGTAGACGGCAAAATCCTAGGAGTCCAGCTGGAGAGAGAGAGACTCCGGTTAATCTGCCCAACTGTACACGGCAAGATTAGAGAAGACGGGAGGTCTGAACTCTGGCTTGGCTCCAAGCTGGAGAATTTTTTTCTTTTCTCCATGCCACAAAGGAATCCCAGGAGCCAGGGAGCTTTCCCCACCTCAGGAGCCTGGGAATCCCTGCAGATCTAGGAAGACCTTGGACCGGGAGCTGGGGCTTTGCTAGGACCACGCGGGTGTGGGGGCGGGGGAAAGGCAGAAGGTGGGCTGCTCCCCCATGCGGGAGGAGCTCCTGGAGGAGGTAGCTTGGGAGGAGGACCCCAAGATGAGCTGCAAGAAGAGGGGGCACACCTGCTCACACCCACGTCCGATGTCAGGAGAACCCCACATTTGGAAGTAGCTCCAATACCTCGTGGCACAGTGGCCTTGGCTGTGTCCCCTCCCTTCGGAGCCTCAGGCCTTTCTC